TCAGCAGGACATCCAAGACTATGTCAGACCTGTTCTGCAGAACTTTCTGAAAAGCCAGTATTTGCCCATGCTTATCTGCATTGAGCATGATTTCACGAATACCCTCTTTCAGAGATACTAAGGACTGTCCGGTCATTTCATGAAACTTTCTGGACATTGCATGAACAGGTTCAGATACTATTCTAGCAATGTTTGTCTCAACAAAATCAACTCCACCCATCAGAAGTTGTTCTTGTTCCTTCTGGCTGGTAGTTCGATACAGACTACCAGTACTCCTGTCTCTAACCTCCCTCTTTTTCTCAAAGCTATAATTTGATCCAATGTCATGAGACCCAACACTCTGTGACGGAGACCTAACATCATCAAGGCGTCTTGACTGTCCTGAAAACTGCTTATGAAAACTCAATTGCCTGTCTATTCCACCGCCCATTTTTGAACTCCCCTCTAGAACCCTGGAATGTTGACCCTTCACAGCTTGACTGTCTAAAGCACCCCATGATGCCTGAGACTGGTAAAGGGAGCCATTTCCATTTGCCGAAGTTCTTTGACCAAAAGGAACTTCTTTCTGCTTGGGATCACTTTGAGACAGACCTTGCCAGTCTATTCCCTGGAATAAGGGGCGACTGCCAACAGATTGTTCATAGTCCACGGAATTTTTGGTCAGAGAACAGCTTGGATTGTGATACAATGACTGAGAACCAGAAAAGGACATTGATGCAGTAAAACCATCAGAGTTAGTACAGAATGTATTACTTAAAGACTGCACACTCCGTGCTTGACTGGGGGATCCAGGGGCTTGCGATGTTGTCTCATGAGCACCAATAGGTAACAGAACATTCGGCAAGCTAAGAGTAAGATCAAGCTGTTCCATGTCATCCTTATGATCGTTGAGAACGGAGTGGTCAACTTTCTCCACTTTTCTAACAGGAGATCTGGAAAACAACTCGAATCCCCTCGTGCTTGGACCTTCTATAACATCAACAGAACACGTTGGGAAGTCTCTCGACCCTCTATCAATCCACAGGCCATCTTCTGCAGAATGAGCAACGTCAGTAGGTACAAATGCAACAGAGACACCTTTGCCTTTATCCTTTACATTGTTGATCAAACCCTCCATCATCGTTTCTCTATCCACATGCTTGGGAGTTTCATTTCCTGTTGAAACCTCATCATTTGACTCGGGCTTGACAACATCCATGCTGGTTTCTTGACCTACAGCCTTGTCCTGCTTCTGCTCCTCTTCATTCAACAACACCACCTTCTCCTTTTCCAAATCCGCATCCTTCTTTGCTTCCTCCTCCTCGCACTCAGCACCACCTGCATCCAAACACTCCTCTCTATCACCATCCCCATTACCCACAGACCCAACATCAGTCTCAGTAACAACCATTTCCTCAGTCGGATCATCCTGGACATCCGGCAGCTTATCAACCTCTTTCTCTGCATCCTTTACCTCGCAACCAACCTCCTCATCAGGTTTCACTTCCTCCTTACTCGACAACTCCTGCCTCTCCTCCATAACAGCATCAGTGTCACCATCAGGGCGACATTCATTCTCATTCTCATTCTGAACCTGCTTCTCATCAGTCTCCAGAGTAACAGAGGGCAAGTCTTCACCCGAAGGAAGAACCGGTTCCGGTTGCGGTTCAGGCTCGAGCTCCCCTTCCTCCATCTCACTACTACTTCCGCTCTGAACCTGCTGCAACGACTCCTCCTCAGTCTTCTTTACCTCAACACTCTTGGACTGCTCGCAATCGGAATCCTTAGACCAAGTGGGAGACTTGGACTTAGACTTAGCAGAGTTAGCATCTCTGAAGGGTCTCGGAGAAGAAGAAGATCTCTTCTTAGATTGCTCGCTCTCGGAAACAGAATCCTTAGACCACGAAGGAGATTTCACATCCCTCAAACCCTTAGGAGAACGCACCACTCTCTCCCTCTCCCTCTCCCTCTCATCCAAATCCTTCAACCCTCTCCGCCACGACGACACGCTCCCCTCCCTCCTCGACCGCTCCCTCTCCGACCGAAACCCCTTCGGAAACTGATCCCGCCGCGACCCACCACCGCCGCAGAAACTCTCCGACCGGTGAATCAAACCCCTCTCGCTCTCCCTGTACCGATCGAACCCCTTCCTCCGATCGAAACCCTCGAAATCGTGCTCCGATCGCTTCCGAACCACGCGCGAACCCTCCCGATCCTCCTCCACCGTCCGATCCCTCTCGTAGCGCGACGACGACGACGACGACGACACCAAACCCTTCCGCGCATTCTCCTGCTTGTAGTAGAAAGTCCTCTGCGCGGAGGAGAACGAACGGTTCAGATTCGAATCCTTGCAACCACTGTTCTTCTCTCCGTAGGAGTGAAGATCCTCGCTCGACCTCAATCTCTTCATCTTCGAAAATCACCAAAACGCAAGTCGTTTACCTCAACAAGGTGAATCTGAATAACAACAACAACTCCTGCACAACTTCCCCCAAACTCATGGAGCAGTTGCGGAAGCAACAGCTAGGGTTTCCGAAACCCTAGTTTTGAGAACAGATTACAGAAGGCAGAAGGAGTGTTTCAAAAGAAATAAGCGTAAGAGAGAGAGAGAGAGAGAGTTAAATAGGTAAAAAGAGCGGCGATCGGAAAATGTTACCGGCGAAGATTTTCCGGCGAGTTGTGGCGGTGGTGATATATTAATAAAGAGAAGGGGGAAAAAGGAAAGAAATGAAAAAGGTATGAGATTTATCCCAGTCAACGCAGTTTAACTACTCATGAGAGAGAACAAAAGGTGTTGGACTTCGATACGCAAGGTGCGCACTACGCACACGCTGCGCATGAAAACGAAAAGCGAACCTTGCAGTGCGCATTGCGCTCCATACGCGCATTTTAGCGGGATTTAAAAATAGAACGCACTTGACTTGTTTGTACTTTGTACTATTGTGGTTAGGGTGATTTGGATCGCATGCGGTGGGTTCACGATTACTGCGTGTTTCGCACACCACTCTTTCACTGACACGTTTCGCTCTTTCACCTTCACGCCTTGTTTGTTTTCTTCATCTGTTTTTTTCATTCTCAAAATCAATAAATAACACTTGTGCAAAATTAGGTGGTTCTTTTTGCCAAATCCAATAATGTCTCAAATAATAAGGAGTTGGTGCATGACATGTGTTTCGTCATATTCTAAATAAAATGATTTTTCATACTTAAAATTACAATTGTTTTATTGAAGAATTGATCGAAAAGACATTGCCGTAAAAAAAATACATTATGTTCTAAAGTTGTTCTAAATTTATTTTTAAAATGGCTCTTGGATAAATTGGAAGTTGGAATTAAACAACTTGGTAAAAGTTGCAAATTTTAATTTTGTTAGCCATATTTGTGATTCAAAAGCTAGCAAGTTGGTGTTTGATAACTTCTCATTTATAATGAAGTCAAACATGGAAATTAGTTTGGTAGCTGGTAATGAACCTTGCGTTGAACACTCCACAACAATTTAAAAGTCGCGCAGAAAGTATTATTATAATTCAATGCTAATCCAACTATATTCATTATTTCAAACGTATTTTAGAAGCATTAAGAAAAGGTTGGAAGTAGATTAAGAGACCTAAACTCCTAAGATTTAGTGTTGTAATTAAAAATGGGTCAAAAATCAGGATGGTAATTTTTCATGTAAAATTTAGATATAGTTTCTTACAGTATTTATTTCTTGTATTATTTTTTAATTGAAACTTAATTTAAGTAATTTGTATAATAAAAAAATTGTATTAAATATCATAATCGATATAAATTATAAAAATAAAAATTTTATTTTTGATTCAACAATGGTGTGACTTGTAATAGTGAGTTTTAAAAAACTCAATTTACAATCAAATTTTAGCTTTTAAAAAATAATTTTAGTTCTTTATTCTAATTTTTAGTATAAAAATAAAACTATTTTGAAAATTATAAATTATATGATTAAATTTGTTTAAGAGTTGTTTATATGGTGAAAGAACTTTTAAAAAATAATTTTAGTTCTTTATTCTAATTTTTAGTCTCAAAATAAACTTATTTTGAAAATTCTCAATTATATGCTTAAATTTGTTTAAGAGTTGTTTATATGGTGACAGAAGCAGTGACAATTAAAGATGACAATAATGATATACAAATAGTGACTACAATATTTTACTATTTTGTAAGAAGTGTTTTTAATGGAAACATTATATATTTATGTTTCATTTGGTTTCGCAAGGAAAAAAATGTAGAAACTAAAATGCTTTATAGGTTCTTTAATACGAGATAATAAGAAAAGTATAATCGTTTTCTTTTTTCTTGATTTGTTGCGTAAAAATAAAAAAGGAAAGAATATGCGTGTATAATGACAAACATTTCAAATAAAGAGAAGTGTGTAAAATAAGGGTGACATATTTGATATTTTATTAACCCGATTAAATGTGTGTAAAAATAAAATAAAAATGAATATTTTAGTTACACAAGGTGGTGGGCTCATTTACATTTTCGTAGTCCCTCATAGGGAAGAATTCTTTCCCATGAAATTTAACATGGGAGGATCATGTGTATTTGTCTCCTTCATCCAAAACTTTTAAACATAATTTCATACTTTATAGTATTTTTACAAAATAAATTAAATAATTTTAGTGCCTGATATATCCTATAGTGAAAATATCATTGTGGAGGATTTGAACCTCCTTTCCCTCTTGACGTACGCGTGACAAGCAGAAGGAGAAAAGAGTTTTGAATTTTTTTCATCGTCTTGTTATATATTGTGGACAATATTGTTGTGCATTTTCCTCAAAACAACAACTTTTATTGTACAAAACATTTTGATTTTAAGTGTATGTTTATGGGAGACAAAATTATGATTTTGAACCTGTTTCAATAAGGAGATTTGAGCCAATGAATTTTTAGTGAAGTGAACTCTAAGAAGATCTAGCCACTATCTTGATTTATAATATTTAAGAATGAGAAAAACATGTCTTTCATTAGTACTTTTTTTTCCTTATTTATATTGGTCTCATATACGTGATACGGATCTTTGATTATCATTTCTTGAAATACATGCAAATTTCCTCTATAATTACTTTATGAACTGCATTTATAATCGTAATCAAACCTGCGCAAGAATCATAGAAATCATGACGTTAATTAGTTTTACCAGAATTTACTCATTAATACGTCAATGACTGACCTAAGATCCGGGTTGCTCAGTAAGATGAGGATCAAGAAAGTATGTATTATTCGGCCTGGTCGGTCAATTGTAAACCAGGAAGGTACATAACTCAAATTGGACATCTTATTATGTGGACAAATCCACTAATTGAAGGCTTAAATTGTTAGAACTTTTAAAAACAAGAGGTGAAATCTATTTAGTTAATTTCTCTTAATGTGAAATCTATTTAGTTAATTTCTCTTAATGTATTGAATTAGTAAGAATATGACTATATATTTCCTAATATAATTAATGTTTAAGGTATATGTACTAGATCGATGACATCATTCTATTATTTTATCTTTTATAACATTTTCAAATGCTTAGATTATTATTAGATTGTATATTTCTTTTAGCATATTTTGTTTTTCCATTTTTATTTTTTATTATACTTATGTGAAATGTTAGTGTTTAACATATATGATTTATATTTGTATTGACTACTATTTTTTCAACGTTAAAACATGCATTTCTTGCATGGTTGATTAACATGCGGTTTCACCTTAATTTTTATTTCAATCTTGATTCTTATATTTTAATAATTAACTAATGTTATTCGAGTATGACAGTGTTGATTTTAATTAAATTGTGTGAATTAACCCTATTTAATAGTTAAAATATTATTTAAATCATTATTATGACATTGTTAATCATACCATTAATTATTTCACAATGATACATCTATTTTTCAATTTACAAACTTTTTACTCAAATACTAACTTTATTATCAAATTTCATAAAAAGGTATCACAACTATATATTTTTTAAGATTATCAATTTTATCATTCACTAATGCAAAAACTAAATATGGCATGACACACTTTTGAAAAATTGGTTATTGTGTAACCGATTTAAAAAGTAACACCACTATAAAAGTCAGTAGCTAGATACGTTTCTTCTTGCCCAATGTCACAATGATTTAAATCTTAATTGTTGTCCTTATTTTCTTTAGTGAGTATGAAGCAGGGTAAATGTATAAGGGAAGCATGTGATGCACCTAACCTTTTCTTGAAATCTCCCGTAGGAAAGGGAATCTTCAATAATCGGAGACCAAATTTTCAACGCAGTGACGTATGGAGATGCCAAACCTTCCACCTGCAACTAAATCTCCATCTCCACTATATTACCATTGTCGATACGTCTAAAAGTTCCACATTATTTAATAATTGAGTCTAAAAATAATTTAAGCTAAAAATTTAATTTAATTCCTTATAATAATTTTTTGTTTCAATTTAGTTCCATTTTTATTTTTAGTTTCAATTTGATCCTAAACTAATTAATTAATTTCAATTTAGTTCCTAATAAATTAATTGGTTTCAATGTAGTCCTTCCGTCTAAATTATTTAAACGAAGCTAATTTTTGGTCACGTAGATGCATACGTGGATGACACGTGGATGAAATTTATTTTAAAACACCTGGACCTAGAACGGCCCGTTCTGAAACCGGAACGGGCCGTTCTAGCTACTCTTTTGGTGTGTTAATTTTACATCCGGAACGGCCCGTTCCAGGTGCAAAATTAACACACCAAAAAAGAAACCAGAATGGCCCGTTCTAGTTTCAGAACGGCCGTTCCGGTTTCATTTTTTTTATATATAAAATATTAATAATTTTATAAAATAGATATTATTAATTATATTTTAATTATGTTGTTATATCTAATAAAATAAATATATTAATATTTTTTTATATTTTATTTTATTATGTTTATCTTATTAATTTTTATCATTTTATTCCTCTAATTTTAAATAAGTTGCAAAAAATTAATAATTTTAATATATATATATATAATGTTTTAAAAAAATACAATTATTCATCTATTCAAGTTAACATATATTATAATTTTCGTTAGTGTATCAAATGATATATATTTATTATTATTACTAAATAAATAAAATTTATATATTATTTTTATAATATTATCGGTGAATTAATATCAATAATATTATTAGTATATTTATAAATAAACTAATAACGTGATAAATATAACTTATTATATATTAATATACTTTTACAAAAATATAAATATATCAATTAGAAATATACATATCTTATCTAATACATTTATATTTTTTTAAAAGTATATTAATATATACTAAGTTATATTTATCAAATTATTAGTTTATTTATAAATATACTAAAATATTATTGATATTAATTTATCAGTAATATTAAAATACTAGTAATATATAAATTTTATTTAGTTAGTAATAATAAATGTATATCATTTGATACATTAACAAAAATTATAATATACGTTAATTTAAATAAGCAAATAATTATATAATTTTAAAACATTATATATATATATATATTAAAATTTTAAAATTATTAAATTTTTAATGAGAAAGACTAAAATTGCACAATTATGATATTTGAGAGATTAAAATTGTTCAATTAAAAATTGTGAGACTAAAATTACATAACTGTAATCTTTTAAGGACTGAAATTACTCAATTAAAACCTTAGGGATCAAAATTGCATAATTATAATACTTGAGCGATCAAAAACACAACTGAGCAAGAATATTT